TCAACAAAACTGGTGAGCTTTTCGGGCGTTTGGGCAGTCGTGGAAATCAATTTTTTCCAGCTCTGAAGATATAAACCACTCGTGCCTGCAAATGTCAGGAAGAAATTGTTTGCCACTATTCCCTAATCGCCCGAAAATCTTCTTCTTCTTCATCTTGTGCCTTCTGCTTAGCCGCACGTTGGCGATTGTCTGTACTCTTCAAACAATGTGCAGAGTGCCGTTCTCGGCTCTTCGAAATATGGTGCTAAAATCAGCTAAATTACCAACAATTTTTCTTCTCCAGTCTTCAAACTAAAGAGAAAATTTTCTATTGTCAGTATGCACGAGCAATTAGAGCGGCAGCGAAAAAAAATAACCAGAAGCTTTTGTCAAATACCGAAATGAACAAACGGAATGATTTTTATTGGGAATTTTTACGGGGGTAATTGAAGTTTGGCAATTTCGGAGAGACCGCACTTTAAATGAAACATCGAGTGCGCCTTTTTCCCGCAAAAACGCATTAAAATCGGACAAAATGTAAATGAAAATTCAACCGCAGAAACGAATGGCCAAGTCAAATCATCAAGCACAATAAAAACTCTTCCGTCGACTATCTGTGCTGTTTTTCACATTTTTTTTGTCAACTGCATCGATGATAAACATTTTGCAGTTGAAAAACCGATTATCTGATAGGCTTATGAGTGATGAAGAATTGAAAAAAACACCCAATATTTTGCATTATTCTACCACTGTTTGTACTACGTGTAACATGTAAATGCTAATGTTCTTCATTCTGTCATTCCCGATAAGGAAAAACGCGTTTGTTAAAAAAAACAATAATTAATAAACTAATGAATTTTTCTATAGTTCCAGATCACTGGCTACGGTAGGGAAAACATTTCGACATCATGCCTCCTCATGAAAAAATCCAGATGAATGACCGTACAATATTTCACTTTGCTAGTTGAATATTTACTCTAATATACGTTAATGTAGGTTCAATAAAATGCAAGTAATCGAAAAACAGTGGTTATTAATAATCATTGCATCGATTAAATAGATTTTCTTCTCGTTTTAGTTTATATGCATTCAAATTAACAATAATTATACTAATTTCAAAACAGAAAAAACTAGATCGGTGTGTCTTATGTGAAACACAAACAGCATTTGATTAGGTATAATTAATAATACTCCGCAACATTAGCTCGCGTTTTAGCCTGGAACGTTTTATTGCGAAACCAAATACCACGGAGAAGGCAATAAGTTGCCTTCAAAGTATTAAGAAATTATGGGCAAAAATTACAAGTTACATTAAACATCAATTATTACGTACTGCTATTCTGCAGGTAAATTACATCAAACTAGTAAACTGATTTGATTAATTATTGTCTAGCAACAGAAGCGAAGCTCTAAAATATCGCTAAATGTATAGTAACTCGATTTTGAAAAATTCCAAAAAATCCTCGGTTTAATCAAAATGACTGCATAATGTAATTATTCAAATTCAAAAATTACGACGCAGCAAATTGAAAATTTGCTAAAACTCCTTTATTAAATACGTGGGCTCAAATGCAATTTTGAGTCGAATCACGAAGGTGGGGCAACAGTGCATAACTCAACGACCCAATAAATCTAAAAATATGAGAAAACAATATTTCTTCAAAGCGGATCATTAATATAAAGCGGTAAGTATAGCTTATCTTCGACTCAGCTCCATTTCAGGAGTTCCCTTAATTAATAATTAAAAAGTTGCCCGTGCATGTAGCGCAAGATGGGTGGATCATAAGGTGGAATTATGTATTAACACACATTTTCATGTACAAGCGATTTTAACTAAATGTGAATTAATTACTGTTTGCAGTCCCGCTTGCAATMCATTSGTCTTGTACAATATTTTAAAAGTATCTACTAATGTATGTTAGTGTTTACTGTTATTTGGAACATTAACACTTCCCAGTTAAAATAAAAATTTCACCCAATTAATGACCSMATGCATCAGAAATTTAAACTTTTGGTCTTTGCAAACAAGTCGATTTGTCCTTTTGGATTATTTTTAWTAGTTTCTTAATTATTTCATTCATAAATGTAATAAATATTGTATTTTAAGTTCCTTCCTATCGCAGTCTAGTTCGGGATGTAAACGCYTCGCAGGTCGTCGCTTATTGTCTACAWTTAGKAACATTATTTATGTTCCTTTTTATCTTRTATTCTTTATCGTTTGAGTTCAGTCATTTCATCATAAMCCTGTAGTTGGTTTATATATACATATCGAATCAATAAATTCTTGTTTTGATATTTTCGAATTTCATTCATGTTGTGTTCTATGTTTAACATAATTTGTTTTCCTGTTCCTACGTTCTAGTTCAACCGTGGGACAGCTTCTGGTTACCTTTGGTACTTCTRGCTGTACTTTTACMCTATTTCTCATTGCTGCAGTTTCAAGTGCATTAAACTTTTTGTTCAATTTTTATATAATTTATAATCTTGGGCAGATTTTCCTGATTCTTTCACACTTCTTTCCTCATTTTCATTTGCGCTTAACTTTTCGTTACCAACACTCTGATTGTTTCTTCTTGTTTATGTTTCTTTCAGTATAAATTGTTCATCTGATTCCTAATCTTTTTTTTGAGAAGCTTTTAAGGTTCTTATATTCGAGCATGCTTGCTTTCAGCCGCTTTATTTTTATTCTTAATAATTGTTGTTATTTTACCATAAACTGCCGTTTTGATTGTGGATTTTTTTATCTAATTTGTTCTTTTGTATTGAATCAATTATTCGAGGTTACTATTTCCACTGTAAGTTCTTTAAAATGTTATCTGTAACATTTTGCGATTGTTTTTTCTTTAGTTCGCATACTTCCACTTTTGCCTGCATTTTGTTCCTTGCCTGTTATCCTTCCCACATGTTTTAATTAAAGACAGAATTTTCTTACCTTTGCTACTTCCACCTGTTTGCTGCTGCTCCAAGTGTCTTCGATGGTTTTTTATTTTTATATAATTCATGGTTTTGGACATTTTTACCTTATTCTTTAAGGCTTCGTTCCTATGTTTATTTGCGTTTAAGCTTCCGTGAGTGACCATCACTCTCTCTGTTTCTTCTTGCTTATGTTCCTGCATACATAATGTTTCCTTCAGTAGTTTCAAAAATTCTTTTAGTGACTATTATTCCCAATCTATGTAGAATGGATATTTCCCTGTGAAGCTTTTAACGTCCCTCCTTCTTCTATTCCAATATGAACATTTACTTTCTTTCGCCTTGCCTTTATTCTTTTTCTGGTCCATTTGATTTACCGAGTTTGCCTTCACTTTTCGCCTCTACAAATATTTTCAGAACAACTATTTAAAATGAGAATTTATACTAAAAGTTACGGTTTCTCATGTTTTTAGTACGTTCATGGATACAGTTAAACTTTCTTAAAGAGTTCAACTTGACTAACTCCTACAGTTAGAGCTTATCCCATTAAGTTCTAAACACACTAATACTATATCTCACTAGATTCTCTGAGCGATAATCATAAATTGCAATCAAGATTAATCGCGATATGCCCATTAGTCTCAAGCATTAATAGCCAATTTGAAAATCTAGAAAATAGTCACTTGTTTGAATCTTTGATAGCTTATTCACCAGCGTAAACAGATACAGAGATGTGAAGGAATTTCATTATTCAATGACTGAAAATGATGCGATACGCCTTGCAAAGATATGTAATTATTGGAAAATTAGAAATAATTCAAATACAAATAGTTTTAAACTTCTTCAAGTTTTTCACAGGCTTAATTTGTGAGTGAAAAACATTGAAAGATAAATTTGCGTCCAATTCCAAAAAAAAAATAGGACAATATAGCAACCGAGTAACAAAACTAATAAATTAGAGGACAAATATCATGGTCAGTCATAAATGGTTCAAAACCATTAAGCCTACACCCCTCGCAGCCTTATCAAAAACCGATAAATACATAAGATAATCTAATAAATAGTTGAAGTAGACCCAATAAACTGGCGTGAGAAAAAAAAGCGAAACCGTTAAAAAGTTTGATGTTTATATGGGGATAATTAAAGTAATAACTTTCAGAACGAGCTCGGTTTAATTTCTATTGCTGATCGGATAATTGAATTTAGACCCATTTATACGCACCGCGCAGAGTTGGGAATATATTAGTATCATTACGATTATAAAAAAATATATTAAGAGTTTTGGGATTTGATCGTTAATTTTCTGAGCTCAATGGTTAAGAAACAAACACGATTTAAAACCTTGTTTCCTTGTCTAGTTTTGTATGTAATTATTTGATCTTAAAAGGGTGGCTTTTGTTTCTTTGTTGTCGTTCTAACTAGTGTTTAGTTTATTTTTTCATTGACTTTAAAATTTTTTAAACGCAAAAATGTACGCGCTTGTTAATGCTGATTTTCCATCAGATTCTTCAGTGGGCAATTTATCGTTGCTTGAGTAAAAGGTGACCACAGTTATAATTAACAAATTTTTAAAGTTTAAAAGTTTAATTTCTATTCATTAATTTCAAGGATTCTAATAACAATCGCGATGTTTCGCTTTTATTATCCTACCATAAATGGTGGAACCTTCATCAAAATTTAGTTAGAAATTATGCACAAAATAAATTTAAAAATTCTAAGGCCATGTATGTAATTAAAAAATACATAATCAAACCATAACGACGCTGAGTAAATTTCCATCAAAACCAACAACAAAACGCTAAAATAAAGTTAACTGGCAAAATCTCCATGCTCTTGATATTTCTGGGACAACTTACGGCTTGGAAAATCGGGGTATCTTGTGCGAAACATGAACTGAAAGTGTCACAAAGCTAACGATTTAGTGCACCTGGACACGGTAATGAAAAATTATGATTATTGCCTTTTAATTTAAATAGAGGAAATAGACGAATAATAATTAATCTCTGTTGAGGAGGATTAATATAAACATGGACATGATCATTGTAGGACATCACATGTGGTGAAACCGAAGAGCATGAATTCGAGCAACTAAAAATAAAACAAAAATCTAGCTAGAGAAAATTTAAATTAAAAAACCATACAAACAATAAAAGAAACATGTCGCTGTTGATGTTTTGTTGGCTGGCACCTTCTCAGGTGATGGAAGAAGCACCAAGGGTCTTACCTTCTGAAGTTGTATGTAAAATGTGCTGCTGCAAACAAAAATTAATACTGATAAAAAAATTATGGAATAAATTAAAACATTAATACAATATATTTGATAAGGAAACCAAGGACCAACAACAATATAACCGTCATAGATGAAACATAAATCTCAAGATCATGCAGCTGATTAATGGCTTAAGGTTCGATTTGGAATTGATCGACTGTCGCACGTTAATTATTACAGATCGACTGACATATTCAATTTAAAATTATAATTATCATCGAGTCGGATAATTAGGAAATGCGTTTCACTCGACACATAACTGTCCGATCCGGTAAAAATACATTAACGAGACGGTTTTTCGCACGTATGTTAATAACAAATCTATGTGCCCAGATTGCAATTAAATTGATACGACTTTCTACATATGCATACCCGGCATTAGGTGTGTTTGCATAACATTAAGTTCCACTTCATGTTTACAAATATATTATTTACATTGAAAAGGATTTTCTTGTAATTTCGATTAATGAAACATGCACAGCTGTATTAGGGCTTCATAAAATGTCAGTTAAAAAGAATTTTAAATTAGCAGCTGGACTTGAAATGTAAAGAAGGGATAAATTGACCTTTAACATTCAGCTAGAATGTTTAAAATTTCTGATTGCAAAAAGATTTAATATTCAAGCTTCAGTTTAAGTGGACGCAGAATATAAGAATAATGAAATTGCAAACACGTCGCGTGTGATTACATTGTTTAAATATGTAACTGGTGATTATACAGAGTGTCTCAGCTAGTTATAATAAGCAATAATACCGTAAAAAGTTTGACTTAATGTGCACTGTTTTGTTTTCGCACGATTTTAACCAGCAAGGAAAAAGAAGCTGTGGATATTAATATAGCAAAAGGTCTATAATCCCTCATGCATTTGGCAAATTTTGCCTGTAATTTTTATAACAGTTGAAGGTTTTTCTTCTGTCCAACTGAGGTACAACAAAACCAACACTTGTTTAACCATCTAAGTCTAAATCAAAACAGCTTAGTAAATGTTGTAGCTACCGAGACTGGAAATTAAAAGTCGCCCGAAGCGATTATAAACTTTCGAATTAACAAGCTTCTTTAATGACTTATGTTTACATAATATTTTGTTTAGCATAATTTAAGGTCGTTACTTTTTTCCATGGAATTCCTGCAGATTGGAATACTGCGATATTGAGCAGCCCAACAATTATCGTGTCAGAAATCTTTGATTAATACTTTGTAATTTTTGCCATAAAATCAGGTCAGTTAATAAGTATGCTAGGTAATTATTTTTTCGGTCGGCACAATCTCAGATTACCCTCAAATTATGTTACGTTCTCGTTTGACCCTTTGCTTAATTATGGGATTTCGGTGTTTTAGGAAATAAGTTATGGTTGCCGATTATCAAAATTGACGCCATTAACTCCAACCGTTCATTCATTCTGGCTAATTGTAAATTATTTTCAAGTAGACATTCTCGGTGTGTTCTCAACATTGACCCAATTTTACTAGTTTAAACTGCAATTGAAGAATATACATAGAGTCAGAAGAGTTGAGTTATGGCGATTTGTAACACGGAATCGTTCTCCTAAAAGACTTATTCGAATGTCAATTCTGGTGGAATTCACCAACTTGGAATTTTAATTTTTAAGGCTTGGGAAACCATTTTTTATTCTATTTGCTTGAGACAATGTTGTCTATTTATATCAAAAACTAAGCCATGAATTAACGTTTTTACTTTTTGCTCCGATTTGCGCTGCATAATTTTAGTTAATTTAATTAATTAATTTTAATTAATAGATTTGTTTCTATTATGTATAAATTTTTCAATTTATATATTTTTTATATATATAAATATTATAAATATAAATTTTATATATGTAATAAAAAAACTAATAAGATATGAGGAATATTTCGGCCCTTAGTTTTCGATTTATTTGCAAAAAATATTTTTTCGGCAATACTTGATTTTTTTTCAATATTTTCGAAACGGAACAGAATTTAAAAATAGTGTTTCCAGATCTTAACTTTTCATTAAATTTCACAAATTTTATCCACTTTAACAAAATGATGAAAATAGTGGTTCATATTTCGGGTTAAAGATTTAAAATTCAATCGAATAAAATTAAACTATTTAAAAATATATACATTTTTGCAAAAAACTACTGTAGAAACGTTAAAAGCCCATTGTTTGCACTCGAAATTGAAAAATTGTTCTTCCTCTTACATACCTTCCTAACCACGTTTTTCTATTTGGTTTTCACTGGCCAGAGCTTATTTTTTGTAACTTTTACTACTCCGCTTTCGCAAATGTTTTTGATTGAAAACGTTCCAAGCCATCGCCTGTGAGTTAACATTATATAGTTTTACGTAACCAAAAAAATAAAATTAAGTACCAACCAGTGTCGCAAACAAATACTTTCTGAATTTTCCTTTGCACTCACAGATAATAAACCGATTGCAAGCGAATGTCGTTCGAGCCAAATATGTGCATCAAACATTGATACTCCGCAATTAAAATAAAATATGCATTTTTATATTTATTTTACAGGTTATGACGGCCAACCAGCCGAGCAACGTAATCAAATATTGTATTGTTTCTTTGCATTTGTTGCAGCAAAATATTTGTAATAAATTATTTTTATTCAATTAAAAATGGAAAAAACGCATTTCGGCGACCGGATCCGGGGCCCGCCCTATCAATATTTAATTAAAAATTCGTTTCGCCCTCTAGGATAAAAAAAAACATTAAAATAATTTTTACCGAGCCCAAATGTTCAACAATACATGATAATTTTAAATTGAAACTGAATATCCAAATAAAAATATGCTTAAGCGTATTTATAATTGATTTTTTGTGATGCAGCGGACGAGCGATTTTTTCCACGAACGTAAAAAAATAATAAAATTTGCGTTTTCCGAATATATATTCATAAAAAAAAATAAAAATACATTGTATCGAGATTAAAAACCATTCGTTTTATGTATTTTTTATCAAAGCCGCATTCATTTGCAATAACGCTATAAAAAGCTTAGTACTCCAATCGAAGTTGATATTTCAATAGTGTCATATTCAATTGCATTTCTTCAGTTCAGTTTAAATGTCTCTCAAGGCAAAATCTTGCAACCCTGAATGTCTATTAGAAATACTAAGCTAAGTCCTCATCAGTAGTAGGTTTGAGAAATATTGACTAAAATCATTCTCAAACCAAAAAAAATATCAAACCAAAGAAAAAAGTGTTGAATAATAAAGCTTAGAAACATATCTTCATCTAGTAGTAACCCAAGTGAGATGTCCCAAAGCTTTACAAAAACTCCAAACTCTATCCAACGATTCATTTCTCTCCAATCATCCAGGACTATCAATGCAAAAAATGCAATTACAAATAAAATGCGCCCACTACAAAAAAAATAACGGAAAAACGCATCAGAAAATAAAAAAACGAGCGCGCTTAATTTCGATATGCATCATTTTTATATAAAAAATGTCTGCAGCGAAAATAAATATTCATCTGTAAATAATGTATATATGGGCCCGGGAAAGTCATAACTACATATAACAATAAATCTGTACACATTAAAAATTAAAAAAAGGGAAAAAACCAATCGGCATTAACCAATAGGTCCCCGCTGCTGCATCGGGCTAGGGGGTGGTTGACGATCGGAATGAAAAAATATGGGAAAAAAGGGCAAATTAGTCAGAGGTGTGATGCCACTTTTCGTTGTCGATACAAACTATTATTTTATTATGAAATAAACCAGATGTTTCTTGATAAGGTAATTAGCTACAGCGACTAACTGGATTGACGATATATATTTGAAATATATGTTTGAACTAGTCTTCGGATCTTCTTGGGGAAGATATTTTTTAAGTAAATTTTGTAACCAAAAACGGATTTTTATTGATTATCGCTTCAACTACCAAAAAGTTGCCAAGTTGGAAAGCTTGTAAGTAATTTAAATGGACAAAACCAGGCTTGAACAAGGAATGAAAAAAAACCGATCAAGCAGCTATCAAAACTATTTTTAAAAGGTGCAAATAGACCAATATGTGGCTAATAATGAAAAACAACGTTTGTTCTTAGAACGATTTATACCCTCGCACTAAGACGACCAGTGTCCAGTAAACCGTTGATGCACCACCCCTCGGGCAGTCCAAACAAAAATTTTTAAATCCGATATATCGGCGTAGTCTGTCCGTTTTCTATGGGCCCGTCTCTTTTCAATCACTAATCTACAGCGTGCATTGCCTTATTGATTCAACGACGTACCTTTTTATACTTTTTACCGTTGAAAAACAATGTTTTTCCCCGATTTTTCGACGTACGAATCATTTTCGAGATAATGCATAGAACAAATGAAGGTTTTTCGAAGGATTAGAATTTCTGCTGTATTGTTCGATGCAATTTACCGAATTTTACCGATTGCTAGTCGAATTTAGCGAATAGCACTGATCAAGCAAAAAAGCGGAAAATACTGCTCAGCATTCTACAAATGTCTTTGAAACAAAATCCGTTTTTATTTTGGAAATATATATGGTGTCTCGTAAGAGTAACACTTTTCAAATTAAATTTTCCTCCATTGGGTTCTGGGTCAAAACTACTTCCTCACTCAATCGAATTTTCAATTCTCTATCATACGATGCCAAACGAATTCTGTGGCTCAGATGGTTCTTGATAGAGTCGATTTTGCAACTCAAAAAAAAAAACAAATCAAGATTGTTTTGAAAAAATTGCCAACATTTCCTTAGAGCCCTTAGGAGGGCGACTATAAACTTGGCATTTGTGCACATAATGATTGCATTAAGTAAACTTAAAATGTCCGGTGTACAAAAATGTACGCAATACTCTCTGAAACATTTGGCTGTTGCTGAAATTTCGACTAACCCTGTATAATGCAGATAACTATTAATCTTTCAAAATATTACATTTTCACTTATTATAGTTATATTAGTTTAAAACGTTTTTAAGAAATGGCTTATTTCAAAACAATTTGCAGAAGAAATTAATATCAAATATCCCACT